CAAACGCTACACACACACACACACACACAAACACACACACACACACACACACACACACACACACACACACACTATACTACACGCCTGTACACTTCAGACGTGAAGTTTGAAATGTGTAATAATACTTAGGCTGTCAGCCCCCTGCGTTCACATGTAGTCTCGAAAATAAATTTAGTTTGTGCTTGATTTATTTTCTAGCAAGCATAGCATTCTTATATTAGTGCGGGATAATACGTGTTTGTCCGTGTTAATATAAGTGGCAACCAAAAGCACATGCTACCTGGCTCAAGGTTTTACAAAGTTCATATCCATTATCATTATATGCGACGTCGATACAAACCGCCAACATCAACTATATAATAATGCTAAACCTCAATTCAGGCGCTTGTCTAATCGCTGTCATTTGGGTGTTTTCAGGAAAGATTTATTTCATTCATAGACCATAATACAGTAACTAAGGAAATTCGCTGCTGAATAGGCTTGACTTGATAGTGAATAGGTAGACAGCAAATTATGAGATATGCATGTTAGAAATGCACGACAATCTAGCACACAATGCCGCTAGAGCAGCTTTAACACACGCACGCATGCAGACACGCGCGCATATATATATATATATATAAATGTAGCGGTCAAGGGTCTACCGAGATCACGTGATCCGCGTCCTAAGGTGATTCAAGTATAACGGGTAGGGATTCACCTCCGTCACGTGACCCGCGTCCTAAGGTGATTCAAGTATAACGGGTAGGGATTCACCTCCGTCCCGTGACCTGCGTCCTAAGGTGATTCAAATATAACGGGTAGAGATGCACCTCCGTCACGTGACCTGCGTTGCCGAGATGTTAAGGTGACCCGAATCCCTGGATCTTACAAGGATGGTAACGTGGGGTAGCCACGTGACCATTATGGGTATATAGCTGCTGCTCCTCGCAGTTAGGGTGTGCACTGGTTTGTCTCGCCATCTGCTCCATGGTACACAACGCGAGGCTTATCAACAAGTGGTAAGATGTACGTTCACGTTTCATTTCCCGACTCACCCTCTGCCTTGCTGACGGCTTGACCGTCCCTGCACGCAGGCACGTTGAGATCTCGGGCCGTATGATTTGATATTGTATATGCTGTGCTTACTGTTTCTGGGCATTCAGCCCAAGTTTGTGTGGCGTATATAGCTACCGGCCGGTCGGTCGGTATGCTAATAAAAGCACCGGCGTTCCCGGTTTGAATATCAAACTTGGTGTCGTAGTCTCTGTCATTACTCGTGTCCGCGTGTGGATCCATGATCGAACCTGTGGCGCACATTGACTGGCTCAAACGTCACAGTGGTGCTGTGACCAGGATCCACGCAAAGAGCGAGCAGGAGAACAGCCCAGGTGCTGGTTTCCTGCTGGATTCCAGGCAGCAGTAACCTCACTCCCGACAGGGTCGTGTTGGCTTGTGCCCTAGGCAAATGCTGCTCGCTACCAAGTCCGGGCCAGTGGGCGGGCGAGGGGCTGGTGCCACTCGCCGGCACCCGGCTGTGGCTGGAGGGGCTGCAAAGACATCTAATGCTGCAGTGGCTGAGTGTACGCCCGCCGCCACTGCGCCAAAACGTCCTGCACCTTAATAGACACGTCGCAGTGTCCCCTTTCCGACGAGGGATGATGTCCTTGGCCTCTTCTTGCCCGTAGATTGTTCTACCCGGCAGAAGATAAGTGCCAAGGCCCTTCAAGTCCCGGCGGTAAGCCGGGCACGTCGGAATTGGGATGGCGGAGTAGCGGCGGGATTAGGGCTGGTGGATGCATCGCCTAATCATCGTGTGGGAGACCAGCCGAAAATCATGGGTTTCCCGGTCGTGAGCGGCGATGGTGAATGGTGTCTCCCCTTTTGAACCTGTCACAAGACGGCCGGACGTCCGTGGGTGTGGATGGTGGAAGGCTGAGTCGCTCGCCCACCCTGCCCCAGCACGTCTACCCCTTGGGCAAGTCTGACGGGTCAAGCAACGAATTGCCCTGACGAGGGGCGACGGGGCTATCAACTTGTCAACCCTGTCCTCTGGAATGGGCCGGAAATGTCCAAGTAGAGACGCGAAGGCCTGCTTGGGCATACCAGGCAGCAGGCCCCGATGAGAGAGGGCATACCGAGAGAGGGCATACCGCACATTCTCTGGTCAAGGGGCAGAGCCATTAGATGCGTTCTTCTGGCATTTTGACGTCGTGGCACGTCACACTGGCTGGACTGCCGGCGATCGAGCCACATAGCTGGCTGGTTCTCTGGATTACCCGGCGTCTGCCGTTCTGTACGAATGCACTAATAAATCTTCCGAGAAAGAGATTCGCTGGGCGCTGACGGCTAGGCTGCAGCCTCCTAGCTCTGAACTCGACCGGCGTCTTCGTCTCGATAAGCGGATGAAACGGCCGACTGAGAGCTGGACTGAGTTTGCACGAGACTTGGAACAGCTGGTCGGTAGGGTTGAACTCGGACTCTCCCGGTTGGAATACAGCAGACGTGCACGCTGGCTGGTGCTCCGTGCGATTACGGGCGCTGCCCAGACGGACAGAGATGATGGCACTGCGGAGTGCGCGGCACGGGCCGCTGATGAATATGAGTCGATTACGAGGTCAAATCGAGGATCCGTCTCTCGTAAACCGGAAGCTCGTCCGGTAGCCACCGCACGGGCACCGATAGAGGATAATCTCCCTCAGCCTGGGAAAGAACAAACCCTATCTGAAGGCACAGTAATCAAGGCTTCAGAGTCCCAGCTGTTAGCTGTGGCTTTGAAGCAGATTAATACCCTATTACAGGCACTGATGGCGGGGGACGCTAAAGGCACACCGCACAGAGCCGCTGGAAAGAGTCAGCTGGGTCAGCGGGCAGACGGTAAGGCGGTGCAGTGTTACAACTGCCGCCGATGCGGGCATATCTTCCGTCACTGCCCTACCCGTACCGTTGAGGTGAAGTCAGAAGCTCTGCCATGCTCTCGCGAGAGGCCGCCACGCCGGTGGACCTGGTCGCGAAATTCTTTTTCCCACGCGAGTTCCGGAATACAGCCAATCAGCGCACTCCATTCCCTCGACTTCCTTGAAGCAACAATGAAAAATGAAACAAATGTCACCTTATCCCTAACCCTAACCCAATCCAAACCCTAACAGTAACTTTAAACCGACTCGCACGCTTATATACGCGTGGCATAGTACCAAACACTATCTATGGTGTATCCGGAACTCACGTGGGAAAAATAATTTCACAACCCGGTCCTTGGATTAGGGCTCGGGAAACGAGTAGTGGCCAGCCCATGTGCACCACCGCATCCAGTACACAGTCGTTCCGGGCTGCGGCCTGCCCAGGTGACGAGCTGACGGCTCCAACCTCGGCCGCGAGCTGCCTGGCTGCTTTCGGTGAAACTCTGTGGTCAATGATTGACTTCACAGTAGACACTGGCGCAGAAATTTCGTTACTGGATCAGGCATCCTACCTCTCGTTACCCCCGTGTAGGCCTGGCCTGCAGGAAACGGAAGCAATGTTGGCAGATGCTCAGGAAAATGATATCCCTACAGTGGGGGACTGTGCGCGGACCTGGCCACTCACGGTAGGCAGTATACCCACAACCTGCTTGTTGTGGACTCGAGTCTTCGCCGAGGGTTGCTCGGACTGGATTTCATGCGTGACCGAGGGTGTCAGCTGGATGTGACCAGAGGGCATCTGACTATTTACAATGTCATGCACGTGCTGCATGAGAAGAATGGGTTGCAGAGGCGGGTGCTGCAGGCAGTGTGCCGCACGGTACTTGCCCCGAACCACGGTGCTGTGGTAATGGGTGAATTTGCCAACGATCTCTAGCCCAGAGACATGCTAGCAGTGGCTGAACTCACGAAGAAGTTCCGGGAGAGTTACAGAGGAAGTGGAGCTCTTATTGCCCGATGTCTGGTGGACACCAGCGGGCATGACGTTCCCCTCTCTGTTGTCAACTCGAGGAACACGGAGCTGGTCATCAACCCTGGTACCGGACTAGCTTGGCTGGAACCGGTCACGCAGGTTGCTCTGGCAGAAGTCCGAAATGACTCAAAAGTTGAGATTGAGAACAAACAGACTGAGGTCCCGGATCATCTTCAACCCCTGTTAAACGGGGTGGATGAAGCTCTGATCTACAAACAAAGGATGGCTGTAGCAGAGACGATCTGTCAGTATGCCTCTTTGTTTACCGCTCCCAGTGTGAAGCGTGGTCATACTAGCCTCGTGCGGCATACTATTAATACGGGTACGCACTCCCCCCTATTAAGCAAGCCCCGAGAAGCTGTGCCTTGATGAAACGGGAGGTGATGAATACGGAGGTCGGGAAAATGCTTCGTGATGGCATGATCCCTCCGAGCAGTAGCCCTTGGGCTTCCCCTGTCGTCTTAGTCACGAAGAAGGATGGCAGTACACAGTTCTGTATAGACTATCGCTGCTTGAATGAGGGTACCATCAAGGATGCGTACCTCCTTCCAAGGATCGACGATGCGTTGGATTCCCTGGCTGGCGCCCAGTGGTTTTCCACAATCTATCTGACGAGCGGCTATTGGCAGGTTGAGATGGACACAAGGGATGCTCCCAAAACGGCGTTTAGTACCCGGCAGGGTCTATTTAACTTCATGGTCATGCCATTTGGGTTATGTAATAGCCCAGCAACCTTTGAGCGGTTGATGGAGCTGGTCCTTCAAGGATTGCAATGGACGGAGTGTTTGGTCTACTTCGATGATGTGATCATTTTCGGTCAGTCATTTGAGAAGGCGTTGGCCAACCTCCACCATGTGTTTGACCAATTGGCAAATGCCAGCTTGAAGCTCAAACCAACAAAGTGATCGCTATTCCGGAGAAGTGCCTCGTGTCTCGGACACGTTGTGACGGCCGATGGCGTACAGTGTGATCCAGAGAAGGTAAAAGTGGCAGGACAGTGGGAGGTGCCGCGATCTGTTGCGGACGTGCGGAGCTTCCTGGGATTCACTAATTACTATCGGCGATTTATCTCAGGCTTTGCTACTACAGCGCACCCACTGACGCAGCTTACCCGGAAAGGTGTCTGTTTTCGGTAGTCAGATGAATGTCAGGAGGCCTTTAATACTTTGAAACGGCAACTCACCTTTGCCCCAGTACTTGCCAAATTTATACTGGACACTGATGCCAGTGCGTCAATCATGGGCGCTGTTCTGTCTCAGGTCCAAGATGGAGATAAGAAGGTTATAGCCTATGCCAGTAAGACATTCTGTCAAACTCAGCGGCGGTATTGTACCACGAATCGTGAGTTGTTGGCTGTCGTAACGTTTGCCAAGCAGTTCCGTCACTACCTGATTGGTCAGCCATTTCGAGTCCGAACAGATCACGCCTCCCTGACATGGCTTCTTAACTTCAAGGAGCCGGAAGGCATGGTGGCCCGGTGGATTGCGTATTAAGGCATATTCGCCATGCGGATTGAGCACCGTCCTGGTAAATTGCATGCCAATGCAGATGGCTTATCCCGGCCGCCGGGATGTCGTACGTGCAAACGGCAGGGTTGCCCGGATTGTCACAGAATCATACTGCTGTTCCAAGAGTTGGTTCCGACATACTCCCAGGGGTCTTCCATACTTCAGTTGGTGGCGCCCCCAATCATCCGCCAGGAGTTGCTGGATGCTCTCCATGGTCGACGCATTGCGGCACACCTAGGCATTCGGAAAACGCTGTCCCGGATTCGGCAATGATTCACGTGGCCGGATATCCGCGACGTCCAACGTTGGTGTCGGCAGTGTGATACGTGCGCTAGGCGGAAAACCGGGCGACGTAAGCAGGCTAAGCTGCAGTAGCAGGCAGGTGGCACACCATGGGAAAAGCTCGCGGTCGATTTTCTCGGGCCCCTCCCGGTGACAGAAGCAGAAAATTGTTACATACTCGTGGCCTGTGATTATTTTACCAAATGGGCAGAGGCGTACGCACTTCCTGACCAGACTGTACAGACTACGGCCAATTGCCTGGTCTCGCAACTGTTCACCCGGATTGGCTACCCACGGCAGCTCCATTCCGACCAGGGTCGCAATTTCGATTCCAATCTCTTTGCCGGAGTATGTACACTCCTGGGTATAGAAAAGACTCGGACCACCCTGTACCATTCACAATCCGACGGGCTGGTTTAACGTTTCAACAGAACCTTGTTGGACATGTTGGCAAAGGTTGGGAGTGAGCAGAAAAATGACTGGGACCAACATCTTCCTTATGCCATGGCGGCCTACAGAGGTACAGCCCAAGAAAGTACGGGGGTGATCCCAAACCTCATGATGTTTGGTCGTAAGGTTAGCTTGCCGGTAGAACGCATGTTTGACCGACTCCCAGGTCTGGACGTGCAGGATTGTTCTGCGAAATACGTTGAATGGGTGAGAATGGCTACCCGCGCCGCGCATCGGCGTGCCCGCGAAATACTTCTAAGGGGGGGCAGAAAGACAAAAACACAACTACGACAAGGCCGTCGTTTGTGCGCATTTGCCGCCTGGTACCTGGGTCTGGCAGTATTACACCCCTGAAGCTGGAAAGCTTGGGAATCCATGGCAGGGTCCCCTCCTAGTGGTCCAAGAGCGTGGTACCTTACGCTGGATCCAGGCTGAGGAAAATGACGAACCTTGTGTAGTCTCTATCAATGACCTGAAACCCTACCTTGGCGGAAACGCGCCCGCAGCTTGGTGCATCCCGGAGCTGGTCCCGGATAAAGCTACCTCTGTGGATCGCTTAGTAACCAAGAGGAAGAAGGATGGTGTTGGGGACATACCCGGCTCGGATAGGGTGAGCATTCACCTCGAAATATCTGATACCCGGGCGGACATAGACATATTCGATACAGATGTGAGGATGGCAGATCTCGCAGCAGAACTCCCTGTGAAGGCTGATGTCAATGGCGGGTTGCCTGTAGCAACCGCCGATGCGGCCTTAGCAGGCATCGAACCAGCGGAGAATTCAGTGGTGATCCCCTCTTTGCGTGATGCCGACCCTGAGCAGGTCTCGGACCCGGTCCGCAGAGCTCGGACAGGCGTGGCCCTATCTATGTTCCCCATGAGAGGCAGCCTGGGAAGCGTATGGCGTGTGGTCCACGTCATTTCGGTTTCCCGGGATGAACACGGGGTGTGTTGTCAGATTGCCTGCCACGGTTATTGGCAAATCTGTGCAGTCTGTGCCATTAATCACGTCAGACCGTGAATAGTTCCCGCCATAACTATTAACGTTATGCGGTCTGTATGCAATATACCGCACGCTAGGCGTAGCCGGGTGTCACGAGTTATTAGGTGAATTGGCCAGTTACAAGGAAGGGCGTTACCCTTTCATGAGCCTCGGCTGGTTACGTGTAGTAACCCCGGAAGCAGGCACATAAGGCAATTCTCATTCCCGTAAGTTGCACTCCACGGACGAGTCGGTCAGGTAGTCTTGTGTGTCAATCCTAGTGTCACTGTAAGACGGTAATTGCGACGTAATGCTTCGCGCACGTGAGACCGATTGAACACGGGCACGGGTGAGGGTCACACTTCTCCGTCGGTATACAACGCCAGTATACTGGGTAAAGGCAGGCCTGGAGCAATCCAACAGGTACGATGGATGTTCCATACGAGGATTATGGCGCGTAACTACCTTACCTCTGTCCGAATTGAAGCAGTGGCGCTCCTCCCGTGTGAGTAAGCGCTCTTCGATAGAGACGTCCGAAACCCTGACACCCCCTTGCCTGCGTGTGGGTTAGTTCGTGGCAGGGGTTGAGTGTTATCACTAACCTCCCACGTGGCAATTAGAGGTGTTGACTGATTGCATTAGCAGTGTATAGTGGTGACGTGGAGCACACGCTCCAGGACCGCAAGGCACCCCTATACATATAGGCGCGGAGTGGGCTAGTGGTGTGGTTGCTTTCATATACTCCCCTTTCCCAGAGTGGCGCAGCATCAGAGCGCTCTGCTAGTGAATGGCGTGGGAGGAAGCGAAGGGCCACTGACGTAGGAGGCAGCGAAAGTCGCAGAGTCGCCGTCTCGCCCCTGGCATCTGCAGCAGGGAGGAGCAGCCACCACAGTCGGGACTGCTTTGCCGCAGATGCTGACATACGCGCATGGAGACTATCCCCGCATCTCGTGGGGCGGCAGCCTCGGCCCCGCATTGGACTGAGAATACAGACGTCAGCTGCTGCGGAGCTCCGCGTCGTGGAAAGCATGATGGAGACCCGATTGCTTGACGATACCCGCGACTTGGTAGCACTACGTGCCACCATACGGGAGAGAGCGCGTGCGGAGATTAGGTAGGGCAGCGTCACGCGTAATAATGAAACATTTATTGAGACGTAAATTTTCAGTGTGATTCCTCTGCCCTGCCGATGCGGCCACGGAGGACGTATATAAATTGTATCAATTGTGTAGTAGTTATTTGGATATGTTGTGATACGAATGACCTATGCTGCGTCATGGGTTTATTTCGCGCTGCCCCTGCACGTGTATTGTGCCGGTGCATTTGTTAATGGGAAATTTAAATTAGTTGGCAATGTAATGAATGGTATGATTAAATTTTAGTGCTTTCCATGCTATGCTGTTTTGTTACAAACATTTGTGTCTAGTTTTGTTTAAAATTTCTGTCACGCTGGTTGATGTTACGTACGGTGTTGCGGGGGTGTTGCAGGCGACGGGGTAGTCCCCGCCCGTTGCACCAAGCCGTCCGGCTGCGGTGGGACAGTTGGCTGTGTAAGTAGAACGTGACGTTTTGGTGCACGGAAATCTTGTTGGGAGAGTTCCCAGTATTGTCTTTGTCTTTTGAATTGTATTGGGTCATGCGTTTTTTTATATCGCAATGTAGCATAGTATTGGACAGACTGTTTTTGTTGTAGACCTTCGTGCGAGCCTTGCCGGGGCGGCCAAGACTCGGAAAAGGGAAGGGGATAATGTAGCGGTCAAGGGTCTACCGAGATCACGTGACCCGCGTCCTAAGGTGATTCAAGTATAACGGGTAGGGATGCACCTCCGTCACGTGACCTGCGTTGCCGAGATGTTAAGGTGACCCGAATCCCTGGATCTACCCCACGTGACCATTATGGGTATATAAGCTGCTGCTCCTTGCAGTAAGGGTGTGCACTTGTTTCTCTCGCCAGCTGCTCCATGGTACACAACACGAGGCTTATCAGCGAGTGGTAAGATGTACGTTCACGTTTCATTCCCCGACTCACCCTCTGCCTAGTACTTGCTGACGGCTTGACCGTCCCTGCATGCAGACACGTTGAGATCTCGGGCCGCATTATTTGATATTGTATATGCTGTGTTTACTGTTCCTGGGCATTCAGCCCAAGTTTGTGTAGTATTTATGGCCACCGGCCTGTTGGTCGGCGGGCCAATAAAAGCACCGGCGTTTCCGGTTTGAATACCAAACTTGGTGTCGTGGTCTCTGTCACTGCTCGTGTCCGCGTGTGGATCCATAATCGAACATGTGGCGCACATTGAGGCCGTGACTGGCTCAAACGTCACATAAATAAATAAATAAATAAATAAATATATATATATACTCACACGATGGCAGCGACGACAAAGGTACCCAATCTCTCCATCGCACGACTAATATCGTGCATCGATAGTCATTCTCGTCCCATAATCGGCCGTTGTGCGTTTCATGGGATATAATTTGATCTAGGCCACAAAGCCCCAAGTGGTTTAACCTTTAGTTTAAATATTTATGCGAAAAATATGCTATTGATTTTCGTGTTTTCGGAGTTTCTCGACTGCATAATTTAGTGGCATCGATGCTTCTCGCGCTTCTGGTTCCTAGTATTATTGTGATTATTTATTTATTTATTATATTTATTATTACTTTATTTATTTATTATTTT